AAACATAAGTGGCTGGGAATAGGACTGCCTCATTTTAAGTCAAATCAATGGGCTAACATGTTTATATATGACAGGAAGAACCTCACGTACTCAGAGTGGACGAATGTTTTAAGATTAAACATTAACTATGCTCCTCTTCGTGGAGTTACAGGAACCGGAGAGGAAATAAGGGGGAAAAGTATAAAAATAAGAAAATATATTAAAATATTCTGTGCTTTGGATGATAGTCCCGCAAAATTCTATCCCTTTTTGTTCTCTCTCGTTAATCATTGTCGATTGGGACTGACCAGTATGCTGGGTCATTTAGCTGCTCACCATAGTTGAGCAGCTGTACAGTTTTATTGTACTTTTCTTCAATGGAATGAAAGTTCCGCTATTTTTCGGATAAAATATTAAGTATTCTACTCTTATAAGTAAGAGTGAAAAATACTGAAATACGTTCTAAATAACGTATTCAGTATACGTTATTTCAAAATGTTATGACTTACGAGGAACCTCTCAGCACGTCAATATTCAACTAATTATAAATTCAGCAAAGATTTTAGTTTAAATATTTTATACTTTTAGACCCTGGTTTATGAAAGCATTAAATTTTAATTATTTCAATTTTTTTTTTAATTGTGGTGATAAAGAGCACCCTTTTACATTATTCAAACGACAAAAAAACAATACTATAAAAAAGATCATAAAATCAGTCTACGTAAGTTTCTAAATAACTTATACAATATCATAACGTTTCACAATATGTTAAACAAGTAATTCATCGAAATTTGAATTTATTTCTCAAAATTAGGTACAGACCAGTTATAATTACATTACAATATGGTTAAATATTGGTTAGCAGGAAACTTATAGAGTTTAAACTGTTGATTTACATGTTTTTAACTTAGGTTGAAGGATTTTCATAGTATGGTCGTCTTAAAGTGGTAGAAAGCAGAACCAGGAGTTATTTTTTAGTTAATTTATAGACTAGGAGCTACCCATCATTTCATTTAACGGTAGGACTTAAAGCTGGTAACTGTTTTAAATTCTAGATAAATCTCATCTGAACACACCATTTCGGTCAGTCGGTTGAAAGCCAATGCTTTCTACGCAAAAATTTAAATGAAAGAGGCGAAATTTGACAGTTTATCGGAAGAACATATGACGTCAAGAATATGTCATTGCAAGAGAATTCACCTTAACTGACGATTCGTTTGGTTGCGTTTTGAAAACTGTCGCGTCAGTCATCAAATTAGACCAGTCGGATGGTAGTTGGATGAGGAAAAAATTCAAATAGTCGATTTCTCATCGGTTTCTTATGTTTTTTTGGGATGCTGAATCTGAATTTGACGTTCCTAAAAGACATTTTTCATTGATTCTCGATATATTTGCAAAAAACAGCTAAATTTCCGAACTTTTTTTTTGGTTTTTCGGACATGAGTCCGAAACTATGCATTTTATCGAGATTAATATGTTTATGACTATGTTTATAACAGGATTGATTAAATATAGTTAAATTAGCTGAATCAGCCGAATCCGGTAGTTGCTATTCAATTAGCAGTGCAACAGAATAAAAATTATTGAATTCAGTTCTAAGCAACAGCTTCTAAATATGCATAAGTAGTGCACAGCTAATTTACAATCTGAAAGCAAAAAATTAAATATGATATTTACGTAAAATTGATTTTAAATCAAATTACTTGCTAATAATTTATACTTATAAATTTTATATTTTTAGGTGTTTGAAGTGGTGTGCAAAAAAGCTTTTAGGTGTTATTACAAAATTAATTATATTTTATACTTCTTTATCTAAATAAGAAGAACTAATACAAATTAATTTAAAATTAAATTCACCAGAAAAATATAACAAGGTAGTGCTTATAACATTTTGTTTTATTTTCCGTGATTTCTGTTTTCCTTATCATTTCAAAAAAAATTTTTTTCAAAGTAGTTTTTTTTCTATTTAATTTAATATATTTTCACGGAAGATATTGTATATATTCTTTAATTTTGATTAATGTAATTTTTGGCCAGATATGGTTTTTATTTTCTGTTCATAATTGTTATTCTTAAGGGACCTCGTCCCATAATAACGTTTATTTCCTATTACATTCCATTTTAAGTGAAATGTTGATAAAATAATGTTTTATTATATTCATAATAATCAGTTATTTCATAAACATTTCCTGATTTTTTATATACGTGCCTGTTTTGAATTTAGTCCCGCTTGATTGCTATCTATATCTATATAAGAGCCCACTGTGTCTGCTAACTAAATAAATAAAAATTTTACTGCACATCCTGACCATTTTTCATCTATATAATTTTCAACAGACAACTATATAGGCTTCTTCAAAGTATATTCTTGTTATTCTAAAGGGACATTGACCCAGAATAAAGTTATTTTCTATTCTATTCTATTCTATTCTATATTATAATTATTATTAGAGTTGCCCAAAATCTGTCTTGGTCTTGCACTTTGCAAGACCAAGACCAAGACTGGTAAAAAAAGTCGATTTTTCGAATAAAAATTAAGGCAAAACAGTTACTAATACTTGACAATTTTAGTTACTATGTGTAAAAAATTAGTATAACCATTATGCTTTTGCATTAACTCTTCTAATTTTTAATTCGGGCTTAGTTAGGTTTCTCTTATCTACAGAATCACAGTAATATCTCTATTGTAATAAGCTAATACTGAACTGCAAGACTGTTGTGAGACTCTTGCCCAAGACCAAGACCAAGACTCCTCTTGGTCCCGCATTTGGGCAACACTAATTATTATTAAAAATTATCATTTTAGCGATATTTTTTTTATTGATATGTGCTTACATTTAGTAACTGTATATGACTTATAATTTAAAAATAGTACACATATAATAGTACAGGATACAAACTCCTTTTTATGATATTATTAACATCCGTCTAAAAATTCATAAACGGCTTCACTTTATCGTGACCTACAACTTGTTTATCTTCGAAAATTTTCAGCACGTTTTCACATTAAATTGATTAATTTAATGAGGTACTAAAAATTCGTGAATAATTTTCTTTCCTCTTGATGATAATTTGATTATCGAGAAATCGAGAAAACGTTGGCCTACAAAAATATTGGGCGGTTTGGCAATATAAAGTTGTTTATTTTGACATGTTGGGGGGTAGATGTCACGTCATACGACTAAATATTTTTATAGGCCACCTTTTTTGTCAATTTTGTGATCAAATTATCTTACGATTCAATTGGTTTTTAATTTATAGATTTTTATTTAAATAATAGCAATACAACTTTATAGACATTGCTTCATACAAATTGCTCATACTTTTTATATACAAATTGAAATATAAACTGAGAAAAAAATAAAATAATAAGAAAACATGTAAGTAAAAATATATTCCTTAGAATAAAAATAAAAATAGAAAAATACGTGTAAAAAGAAAAAAAAAATTTTAAGAATAATAAAAAAAGAAAAAAAAAATACTTGTCACACATTCATTCCTAAATGCGATATTTACATTCAGCCTAGGGAACTCTGAACCGGACCTGGGCAAGAACTATTTTAATTATTACTTTAAAATACATGTATTTTGTCTTTTTAAAATACTTGAATAAATAGTAATTAAAATGAATGTATTTTGTCTTTTTAAAATACTTAAATAAATAGTATTTAAAATGAATGTATTTTGTCTTTTTAAAATACTTAAATAAATAGTATTTAAAATACTGAAAAATGAAATTCAAACACAAAATACTCGCGTCTAAAGTACGTAGTTGCACTTTACAACTGCTTCCTATTATAATTTCATAAATTGAAATTTTTATTTTATTTATTTATTTTTTTTTTTTTTTGTATGGAAAGCAGTTATGAAAAGAGGGCACAGCGGATATAATTTAAAAACAATTATTTGAGAAAATATATTTTATTCAATCAATATTTAAGAAGCATTTTTAAAAAAATAAACAATTGACCAAAATAAAAAAAAAAAACTGATAAATAGGCTTCGTAGACATTAATTCCAAATAAACTTAAAAATCAAGTAATAAAAATACATTTTCATCCTTCCAATGAAAAAAATCAAGAACCTTTCATAACTTCTAAATATTTATCAGTTTTATTGCCAAAGATAATTGTAAAAATAACATAAAAATGTAGCACCTTCGAACTTAAAAAAATTTCAAGTTCAATTTTAATGGACGAGTTTTAGTACGAACGATGAGCCTTACTATATAACTTAAAGCCGCCTTCTCTATTTGAAAATGTATTTTATGTTTTTAAAATACATAATAAACTACATTTTATTTCATGTTTTTAAAATACAAAATAAAATACATTTTATGTATTTTATATTTTACTTCTCAAAATTCAAAATACAAAAAATGTATTTTATTTTGTATTTTAAAATACTTTATTTGAAACACTGCCCAAATCTGCTCTGAACAATGCTTTGCCGCTCTCATCTCAAAGGCAAAGCAGGACTTAAAGAGATCCCAGCGCTTCTATCCCAGTCCCATCACTGTTCTAAAGCCAGTGGAGGCGGTGAGAGCGGTTAAGTCACATACGCTGAGGAGGGTTCAATCGGAAAGAAAATGGGTGTTCATAAATTTTCTGTGTCTCATTAAATAGACAAAGTTTACCGATCTCTGGATTTAAAATATCCCATTTTCGAAAATTTTAGTAAATAAAAAAGTTATAGGTAATTCAAGAAGTTTAAGAAGGATGTTAATAATTTGATGAAAAGGTACCTGTCTCGCCGACTATAATTCTTTAGTTATTTGGCTATCAAATAAGGACCTATGAAAAAAAAAAATTATTTTTACAGTTTTGGAGGGAAGTTTAAGCTCGAACTTTATCCGCGTGTCCTACTACTCGTGGTTTAGCGTATTAAGGAGTTGCTTCCGTGGTACAACATTTCAAGATTGAAGACAATGCATGCGAAATCGGTAGAGTGATAAGGTTTTTTTTTTTATGAGCTCTGATTGGCCGAGAGGGGGGCAAGCGGGAGGCTTAAGAGAAAGGTGAGTCGAGCCGGTTCTATCCCAGAGCGACGGCAACTCTTCACCACTCCGCAACCTCCATCTCTTTCTCTCAACGTCTTCTTACAGGTATTTATATTATTTATTTACGCTAAATACACTCATAGAATATTGTCTCTTATATTCTATATCAACGATACAGAAATTCCTGGACGTTCGAGAAGCTGTAAAAATATTCAAAATATATTTTTTTAATATGAATCATTTATGACAAATGGGTCTTTCATTTCCAAAGTGAACCCGAATCATTATTGACAATTTTTAAGCAAAAGCGAAAAACTATATTTTCTATTCCGTTTGTAATGCCAAAAACAATTATTTTTTAAAAAAATCTTTGTTTGGAGCACGTATTTCCGAAAAGTCTCCATTATTTTAATCGTATTTAAGAAACATAGAAACTTAAATAGGGACTTATTTAGAACGATTTAAACTTTAAAATCAGTTTTGGATGATAAAACAAATATATTACAATTAGTGAAAGAAAAATGTTATTAAAATTGTACAATAAACATTCAAATTTTTAACAGTAATAGTATAATAAAATTTATTTATTTTAAATTTTTATTAAAATAAAATGGTAAAAAAACTTTTATTTTTTTTTTTAATATTTAAGAAATGCAAGTATCATTATATTCCGTGAAAAAAAATACCGGTTTTGGAAGTACTTTATTTCAAACCACTTTTTTTTTTTTTTAATATTTAGGTGGCAAAAATATATATTTAAAAAAATATATTTGTCTCGATTTAAAAAAAAATTAAGGTTTACTTCAGTTTCACCAATACATAATACTATTCTCGGTTGAGATTCCAGGTTGTGACAGTTTATTTGAGGCCGATTCTGGAACAAATTAATATTTTTTCTTTTGAGCATCCTGCGTAAAAATAGTTGAAGCTAAAAAAAAATGATCATTTTTTATAAATTAACCTGTCTTATTTTGTAGCTGCTCCGAAATATTGGGAGTTATATTATGTGCAGCGTATTCATTCAATGACTACTAATTTACAAATTAATCATAATAGAAAAAATAATGTACAGAATGTCCAAAATGTATCAACTGAGTCCTTTATTTCCAAAGAAAAACTATAATCGATTATTTTTGGAGTTCGGAATACTTATCGATTCCCATGTAAAAACACCCAATGATAATGCAATTTTTTTCAGAAATGAACCTAAATATTGAAACAAGTGGTGTATAAATAAATTTCTTTAGTAAACCGTTTTTTTTTTCTTTTTTCAGGGCATGTAATAAGACTTGAATTTCTGAAGTATTCTTAAAAAAATAATTCATTAAAAGCATTTTCAACCATTTCATTCAAATAAAAATAAATAAAAATTAATTTTGTGTACCGTAATTGTATGTAAATGGTTAATTTTTTATAAAAATTTTATAACTTTTATCTCCCCATTTTCATTTTTTCTTAATGTTGCCCAATATCGGTCTTAGTCTTGCACTTACCAAGACCGTCTAATATTTGCAAGACCATGACCAAGACTGGTAAAAGAAAAAGAAAAAGAAAACAAAATTGTCGTGAATAAAAATTATGGCAATAGTTACTAATACTAGACAATTTTAGTTACTATATGTGAAGAATTGATAGAGGCAATGTACTTTTGCATTTCCCTCTCACAATTTTTTAATCGGGGTTTACTTAGGTTTCCCGATTCTGAAACATTAGTTATATCTCTATAGTATTTACTGGTAACATTTTTCAAAAAGATTAATAAATTTCCAACAAAACTATTTTTAAAATATCGTTTAAATCGAACCTGTTTTAGTAACGTTGCAGTGTATTGAATTTTATACTCTGATTTTAATAATTGTTCACTTGAACATTTACATTGCTTTAGTTCACCAAAGAAATAGTACTCATATGATTTCTCTGACTGATTGTCAGAAAAAATTAGTCTGATTCAATTGTGTTATTTTTAATGAAAACATATATTTTTTTTATTTATTTATTTAGATATATAATATTCTGTCTCTTGGACAATAATTATAGTGATAATGAAAATATTAAAAATTGAAAAAAAAAAAAAAATCTTTATAATCAGTAGGAAAATCATGTAAGTGGACACACCAGATTTTATATTTCAATAATTGGTGACATTGTATAGATTGTCTATAAATTACATTTCGATCTCAGGTCACTGGTCCATCTATTTCTGTTTTGAACAATTTTTTATAATACTTTCATAATTTTTATTCTTATCTGTATAACAGACATACTCGTTTTTTTTTATGGTCTTATAGTGTAATTTCTGCCTTTTGATTATAAAAAAATGTAGTGATTTAGCAATCATAAAACATTTTTTACTATTTACGTTTTGTGCATAACTAACGACATAATGATTTTATATGTAATGCTTTTAAAAATTAAACAAAATTATTTTCTTCTTTTAACGAGGTTATTGCAAAAATAATAAAACGAATCTACAGACCCCGTTTGTCGAATTATTAACATCCGCCGAAAACTTCGTAAATAGATTTACAATACATCTATCATCTCATCTACAACTTTTTTATTTATGAAAAATCTCAGAAAATGGCCGTATTCAATCTGTAATTCGGCAAACTTTGTCTATTTAATTAGGTACTTAAAACTCATGAACCATTTGCTTTCTACTTGAATATTTAGATAATTTGACACAAAATAAAAAATAAACGTGTCCTGCAACGTAACCCCCGCCCTCAAAATGTCAAAATAACGAAGTTACAACGGCCCAATATTTTTATAGGCCATATTTTTCTCCGATTTTGAGATCAAATTATCTTACGATCCAAGTGGAAAGCAAATAGGTATGAGTTTTTAGTACCTCATAAAATTAAATATTGTTTCATTTCGGGTGGCTTTCATCCGATAAAAGATAAGTATGAGCAGAAAATGGAGTTTAAATTTTTCAATAATAAAAAAAAATATCCTTAAGGTTATCTCGTAACCCTGACTTAAACCGAACAGATCTTGTATGAACTCGTCCGACGTTTAGAACGGTTCCTGGGGACATTGGAAGAAATCACGCAAGATGTTGCTGACCTCACGATGTACGCCGAGAAGGCTTGAACCTGCATCTTCAAGCATTCGACTGTTTCATCCAAAATTAAAATTTTATTTTATTTGAAATATATCTCAATGTATTTTTTTTTAATCGTAAAATCAATTTTTTTTTCTCACTAAACTAAAGTTACTTTTGGCTCAAATTTTCAATATTTCTTATTCTATAATACCTCTGATTTCCTTTATTACAAATAGTTAAAGGTCTCTAATAGTTAGTTGTAATATAAAATGGATAAATATGAAAGAATTTTATTGTAAACTGAAGGCGAAGATGTGAGAAATATATTTTCTGGTTGAGAACAACTTTCCTTAAAATAAAAGTAATAATATAGTAATAAATAAACAACTATCGGAAATATACATATTTTAGAAAAATTAAAGCATACAAACACCTAGACATTTATGGAGAATGACGAATAATTACATTTGATTGTTTTGGTTAACAATGCCTGCTTTTAGAAGTAGCAAATAGTCTTTTATATATTTTAAATGAATTCATCACAAAAACCATTCATTCGGCTCATGTACATTTTCATTATGTGAATGTTAAGCAATAGGTTTTAATGAATTTTTTTTTATATCCCTCATCTATTAAAAAAATGAATTTTAAAAACCCATCTATTTTATAAGTGTTTATCATGACAACAGTATTTTAAATATAATGATTCAATTAAAAAAATAAATCATTAAATGAAAATTATCACAAATTTATAAAATTAATATTTTTTGTAAATACAAATAATGCAAAATAAATTGTTAAAAGAGAAACGATACCGTTGATTCTGCTTAGAGCACTGAATCTAATGGATTGACACACTCGCGGCACGAGTACTAAAGGAGCTTGGTTTGCGTCTTCAATTTTACTTATAAGTTTAATTTTAATTTTTTTTTATTTTTCTTATTTATTTAATTTGTCATGATCTCATTTTATTATATTATGAATATGGTATGAATAGATACATGGATTATTCATTATTGTCTTTCAATGAGTTAGTTTGTTAATATTTATTGTTTAATCTTTCTTTTTTTTCTACTTCTATATAAATGGTATCGCGTAAGTAAAGGTAGATATTTATAGCAGCTATATCAGACATAAAGATCTACAAAAAAGTTTATTTAAACATTGGTCCGATTGTCGCCAGAAAAGTAGGAAATTTGAGTATTTTGTTGATTAGGTAGCGATAACTGAAGAAATATTTAATTTAAGTAATTAACAATCGCTAAACTAAGCTAAGTTCTATTTTTTAAAAAATCATAAGTTATTCGAGATTTTTTATATCATCATCCAACCTCACTTTTACAAAAAACTTCTTCGTTAATAAGCTTAAGTCCTTTTATACAAAAATGGTATAACTTTATATTCTATCACCTAAAAGTACTACCCGTGTTTTCAGCAAAAATGACTACAATAAATTATTGAAAATTTTTTTTTTTTTTGTTAATGGCCTGGGATGTATAATAATAAATATAAATGTATAAACATACTTTTATTTCAAAACAATAAAAAAAATCAAGTTTATATATATATATAGTATTATATTTGCCTAATGGTCAGAATAAATTAATCGAATGAGTTTTTGATAGCAATTTATTGAACGTTTCAGGAAAACTGCATTCCCCTCTTCAACAATCTAAAATAATAAAATAAAGATATATTTTTTAGGTTCAGTCATATATCCAATCATTATCAACTAAAAATACATAATGTTTTATAATTTCTAATAATTATAAATAAATATAATAATTTCTTTATACGATAATTGTTAAATATATATATATATATATATATATATATATTTATATACACACACATATTGTTAGTTGGGAGAATAATATATAAGTTCATTATGTTTTTATCAATTGTTGTACAAAGAAATTATTATATTTATTGATAATTATTAAACATTATGTATTTTTAGTTGATAATGACTGGGTTCATGACTGAATCTAAAAAATATATATTTATGGTATTATTTTAGATTGCTGAAGAGGGAGATGAAGTTTCCCTAAAACGT